CTTTCCCTACTTTTTTATGGTAATAAATATTCAAAATCATAGTTTAAAACAGAAAGCATTTTTAAATGGATGACTTACAGCAGATATTACGCATTGACCCCTGTCATTGGGATATGCACCCCACCTGTGGAAGGAGCACAATCATTTCTTGATGGTAGGTCAGGGATCTGAGGCCCAGAGAGGGGGGTTTTCCTGAGGGCCTGCACAGCTCACTGTGTTTGCCTTTCTCTCTGCCTGCCCTCTGTATCCCTGGCATTGTTTCTCACCTTTATCTCCAGGTAGTTCTTGTCTCTAGCAAGCCTTTTCCCAGGCTTTATCCTCTACCCCTCCTCCTTGGTTTCTCTGTCCTACTCTCAGGGGTCCTCAAGGGCTGCTTTGCTTCTTCGTTGCCTAGGAGCCCTTTGACGTACTTGGCATCATCTTAACTCTTGTCCTGAGCAGCTCCACAAGGACACACACACTTCCGTGTAGAGTCATATTTGCCACAACTGTGTTGCCTCCGCCTCTTAATGTAACACTCCTGTGCCACGTTTTGCCACTACTGGGAGAGTTAAAACTGAAAGTGCTTTGAAACATAAGGGACGGTGGCGGGGTTGGGGAGGGGAGGGCAATTCTATCTGAAAGCCGGATCTTATTACCTGCTAGGATGGCACTGAGCTAGTACCTTCCAGAAGAGGCAGATTTTAGAGACTGGTTGTGTACCCTAGGGTTGTGCAAGAACAAAGAACAGAAAGACGCAGACACACCGCTCTTGTGGTTGGTCTGTCCTACTTGAACCTGGTCATCTGGGGCTTTGAGGGTGACTTCCTGTGTCCTTTGTTGACCTTTCCAAGCTCGTTTCTCACTCTCTCCCCCCTTCACTAAACTTGGCCCACACTGGCTTTCTGCCTAAGGGTCTTTGCTTATGTCATTCTGTCTGCCTGGGACACTCCTGACTTTTCCCTTGGCTGCCTTCTTTCCTCTTCTATGTGTTGACTTCAGTGACACTTCCTCAGAAGATCCTTCCTTGGCCACCCAGTCTAAAGTAGGTCTCATCTGTTTTGCCTCATGGCACCACTTTCTTCTCCTTTTTCACATATAACACAGTTTGTAACTGTGTATTTATTGGTGTGTCGACATGTCTAATGGAAGTCGTCTTCAACTACAATGTGTTTACGCAGCAATTGGGTAATTAGTCCTGGCTCGTTGTAGATGCACGTGAAATACTTGGCCAAGGAGTGAATGAAAGAGTAACGTGACCCTGCTGGGCTCCTTCGTAGCCTTTCCTGTAATGTGCTGATTGGTGTGATTGTGGTTGTCAGGTTGTGGCGTGTGCTGAAGTGCTTCCTCCGAAGGTTGTGCCGCCTGGAGCCGGGCCCGAGTCCTTCAGTCACCAGCTCCTGCCCGTGGACCCACAGCCTGAACACGAGCCGCAGAGGCCTCATCTTCGGGAGGAAAATGGTGAGGATCTGGGCTTCAGTGGAACGGATGTGGGTTCCCTGGCCGTGTGGGTAAGTGGTATCTGTAGAGAGACCTGGGGCTGGGCAGCCTCTCCGCAGTCAGTGGATCTGGAGGTTGGGAAGGGGTGGGGGCCTGGAATCGGGTCCCTGGTCAGCTCGCAGGCTGGCTAGGAGTCGTACCAATAACCAGTGTCCTTCGAGAGTATGCTGCAGATGACAACAGCTCTAAGTACAGGTACTGTTAAAAGATGTACAGAAGTCTTTTACAAAAGTATTATCATGGTTTTGCAACAGATTTCCAGCTCTACCTCATTCATTTTGTTGTCCTAAGGCTCAGGTAGACAAAGCTCTCCAGTTCCTCACTGCACTTCTGGCTGTTCAGCCATTCATGTGAAATCTGATTTTAAGCCATGCTTCACGAGGACCTGTAGAGCGTCTGTTCTCTCTTTCTCTCCTTCCCTCCCTCTTGCCCTCACTGTTATTAACCTGTATGAGATACATCAAGGAAGAAAAGTGCGCAGCCGAGTATCTCATTTATGATGATATATGTCCACAAGTATAATATCCCTAATCGGAAACTCTTGCTATCAGATATATTTTAGAATTTAGAATTTTTCAGATTTAGTAAGAGGATCTGATTTACATACAGTGCACTGCCATCAGGATTTGGAGTGTGACCCCATAATCACACATTAATTTAGTATTTTGGCAGTGAAATGTATGCCTAGTTACAGTAAGTGGATTAAATAAAAACTTCAAATAGCTTCATATCAGTTCTGGTCAGGTTTTGCTGATTTCGGAATGTGGAGAAGGAATTGTGAACTCGAATTTCCTGTTTGGCCCCAGCCTTTCTTCCGGGCTCCTCGTAGTGGTTCGCCTTGAAGTCTCACTGCTCTAAGCTTTTCCAGCTTTCCTTTTCACTGTCGTAACAGTAACTATTACTTATGTGGTGTTTACTGTGTGTCAGGAGCTGTTCTAAGCTGCTTTACGTGTATGAGCTCATTTAACCCTCAGTGTAGTACCAGGAAAAAGAGTCTTCACCATTTAACATCTGGGGCCAATGGGTCCTTTCTATTTTTTTTTTTTTTTAATATTTTTAAGTCATTTTATGAATACTTACAGAAGAATCAAAAGATAATGAAAAATAAATCTTAAAGAACTTTAGTAAGAATTAAACCTCTTTGTATCAAGTATGTTTTGATAATATAAAAATCATAAAAAAATGAGAGAATACTGTCAGTCAATAGTACCCCTTTAGCAAAATGAATATGTCCTTTTAGCAAGATGGGATGGTCCAGAATCTTGTTGCAAAATATTACGTGATGAAGTCCTTCCTGTTGAATGATCGGATAAGGTGTCATAGCTCCTTTTTGGAATTAGAAATGTAGTGTTTATCATTGTTTCTTGAGTGTGGGAAGATTCATCTAGGATATTGTCATTGGCAGACTCTGTCAGTTTTCTCCTATGCCTTCAGTTTCATACTGTCTTTAGCACACTGCTCTTTGTGTCATCTTCTCATTCACCTACTAGTAGTGAAATGTCTTCCACGGCACATTTTCTTCCCTTTGTCGATATGGGTGGGTGGAAAGTAAGAAATGCTGAATTCTCGACTATGGTCAATGAAAGCTAAAAACAGGTGTCAACAGCCTTAAACCTTCTTGAAGATGATGCAGAACTCTGGGGAATGTATTTAATACTTTGAGAACAGTGAAGAACAATGGTTTATTTCACGATTGCCTGATCCTGAATATTTCTTTTATTCTCCCATTTTCTTATAATTTTAGTCTTTTTGTGCTAACATTAAGACTCATGAATGAATAATTAGTAAAAATGAAATAATTCCTAGGATGATGAACTAGAAGAGTGCTTCATGGTACAGGAGATAGAAGATCATTCAGACCCCAAAATGTATCCTAGATTTGTAAAAAGGTCCAATGGATCCGTATGGAAATTACAAAATAAGAGTTTTCTTTTATTTTTTAATAATACTAACATTTTCTTTTTGTTCTTCAGAAGACCTCTAAAGGAATAAAAGTCATGTCATTCCAGTCTTTAAAAATAGTTGAAACTGTCCCAAAAAAGAGAACCACCAAACCCAGAATTGTACCTAGTAGACCTAGCTGGCATTCCAAGGGTTAATGCCCACAGTAACCCCATGGACTAGGTATTATTGTTATTCTCATATTAGAAATTAAGAAGCTGAGGCCCTCAGAGGTTAAATAATTTGTTTAAAGTCCCAAAGCTATTACACGGCAGAGCTGGGATGTTACCCCAAGCAGTCTGGCTGTAAGTCTGCACGTTTACCCCATACTGAGCTGCGCTGCATGCTTTACCTCCAGGCTTTCCCAGCGCAGAACCTTGTCCCCTTCTGATCACTGTCATCTTCCTTCACATGCAGAGTCTCGTTGGATCAGGCTGCTCATCTTTGCTCCCTCAGTGGTGCTTCTCTTCTCTGCCCTGTTAGCCAGACCCTGGCCACTTTCCTTATTCCAACAAAAGGGTTGGTTTGGGTTGGTTTGTTTTACACCCTGGAAGATGCTGCATCCTTCATGCCTTTGATGGCACCGAGAGCTGGCTTTCCATCTCTGGGACTCATTTGATCTTGAGAGGGCCAAAGTTGTTTACTTAAAAGTTCCACTTTCCTTATTCCAACAAAAGGGTTGGTTTGGGTTGGTTTGTTTTACACCCTGGAAGATGCTGCATCCTTCATGCCTTTGATGGCACCGAGAGCTGGCTTTCCATCTCTGGGACTCATTTGATCTTGAGAGGGCCAAAGTTGTTTACTTAAAAGTTAGAAACAACAGGGCTTCCCTGGTGGCGCAGTGCTTGAGAGTCCGCCTGCCGATGCAGGAGACGCGGG